TGGGAGCCGCAGTTTCCTCTTTTCCTAACTGGGTAACAGCAGTACTTGCCGCATGGAGACCCTGTGAGGATTCAGTGAAATGACACAATGCCCAGCCTTTATTGCCTCTCTCTCTGCCTTGGCAGGACCACCAAGACCCCTTCATGGTGGCCGACCTGGGAGTGTTGGCCAGCCGCCACCAGGCCTTCTGCCAGGCCCTGCCAAGGGTCTCGCCCTTCTATGCGGTGAAGTGTAACAGCAGCCCCTTGGTGCTGCGTGTCCTGGCTGCCCTGGGCACCGGCTTTGACTGTGCCAGCCAGGTGAGCTTGGGCCCGCAGCCAGCTTCCTCATCCATAGGCCTGACGGTTCCTGGAGCGAAAAGGCCAGTTGCCAGGTGTCTCAAAGTGGGGATAGCAGCCCATGAACAGTGGCTGATGTGTGTGGTGCCCAGTTGTTTGTGAAAGAATAAATGAATGAACTGGGAGTAGTGCACCCTCCACTGGTCTAGGTGACGAGGGCAGTCAGCCTGAGCTAAGGATTGGAGGGAGCATGCGCTTTAATCCCCAGACCCCGTTCTGTCCTGGCCCAGCCATTTCACTGGAGCCTCAGTTTCTTGGTCTTTAAAATGGGTTCAACTATATGTTCCTCAGAGCAGTCTAGAAGCTTAAGTAGCACAATATGTGCCTAGCGCTGTGCCAGTAGGGACTCAGTAGTGGACAGGCCCTCATGCCCGTGGTTCCTGTTCCCAAAACGCAGGGCAGCAGGGAGGCAGCCCCTTACTCCGGCTTTGCCCATGGCAGATGGAGCTGGAGCAGGTGCTGGGGCTGGGCGTCGCCCCCTCACGCATCATCTATGCCCACCCCTGCAAGCCCGTCTCCCACCTGCAGTATGCTGCCCGCCATGGGGTGCAGCTCCTGACCTTCGACAGTGAGGAGGAGCTGACCAAGGTGGCCCAGCACCACCCTGGGGCCAGGTGAGACCAGCAGGGCTGCAGGCAGGTGGGGACAGGGAGGAAGTTCTGGCAAACTGACTTGGGCTTCAGCAAGGAGATGAAGGCTGTTCCGTGGTGAGTATGAGACGTCCAAGCTGCAAAGAACAAGAATGTGGGCCGGGTGTCCCAGTGCCCTCCCTGGTGCCCACTCTTGTCAAATAAAGATTTCCTGTGTCTGCAGAGACACTGGCAGAGCCTGGCATTAGGAGGTCAGGAGTCAGCAACCTCGTGGGAAAAGCACTCATAGGATTCAGGAAGACCATGGGTCACCATTCTGACTTACTTGTCCCATCTGTGTGTTCTTGGGAAAGTTACTTAACGTCTCTGATCCTGTGACAGGAGGTCTGCTGAAGGGATGTTTATAATTTTATCCTTTTCCTGCTTTTTCTTTTCTGGGCTTAAGTATGGTAAGTAGTGGTGTGTTCCCTCCCTGGACCTCCATGGCTGGACAGTCCCGAGGACCGAGGCAGGGGTGGACGGAGGGTGGAGGGAGTTTGGGTGGGGGCAGAAAAGCATCCAGGCTTGGGGTTCATGTGTCTAAGAACGCTTGTCACCTCACACCCCCTCCCAGGCTGGTCCTCCGACTGTGGACCGAGGACAGCCAGAGCCTATTCCCTCTGAGCGCCAAGTTTGGGGCCAGGCTGGAGCTGTGTGGACACTTGCTCAAGTCCGCCCGAGACCTAGGCCTGGCTGTGGTGGGCGCCAGGTAAGAGCACGGACTCTCCCTCCTGCGAGGCAGGGCTCCTGGTCCCCACGCCTGTCCGCAGCCTCTGACTCCCTGGGTGCCCTCGGGTCAGCGTGGCCCCTCTGGGCCTAAGGGGCTCCCTGTGGTCCTCAGAAGAGGAGGTGGGTGTCAGCTGCTGGGAGGGTGGGGCAGGCACTGGCCTTGGGTGTAAATATAACGGGATGCCGAAAACTCTGTACTCCAGATAAATAATGTTTAATACAGTATTTAAAAAATTAATGGAGAAGAAATCCATGATGAGCCCTAGCTCGTTTGTCTCAGTAGGTAAAGCGTTAGCCTGTGGACTGAAGGGTCTCGGGTTGGATTCTGGTCAAGGGCATATGCCTGGTTGAAGCTCGATCCCCAGTAGGGGTGTACAGGAGGAATCCAATCAGTTATTCTCTATCATCATTGATGTCTCTCTCTCCCTCTCCCTTCCTCTCTGAATCAATAAAAATATATATAATTTTTAAAAAAATCAAAGATGAGAGAATATCAAATTTTACATCAAGACAGGATTGGCATTTCTAAATTTTCCTTTTCCTTCTGGGTCCAATTACTCTTAACTAATCTTGTCTTTATTTAAAGTTTTTGTATTTTATTCATCATGATATTTCTGCATCACCGGGTTCGATCCCTTGATGGGATGCGTACAGGAGG